ATGGCTCACTGGCACCGAGGCTCACTGGCACCATGGCTCACTGGCACCATGGCTCACTGGCACCATGGCTCACTGGCACCATGGCTCACTGGCATCATGGCTCACTGGCACCATGGCTCACTGGCACCATGGCTCACTGGCACCATGGCTCACTGGCACCATGGCTCACTGGCACCATGGCTCACTGGCACCATGGCTCACTGGCACCATGGCTCACTGATACCATGGCTCACTGGCACCGTGGCTCACTGGCACCGTGGCTCACTGATACCATGGCTCACTGGCACCGTGGCTCACTGGTACCATGGCTCACTGATACCATGGCTCACTGATACCATGGCTCACTAGCACCATGGCTCACTGGCACCATGGCTCACTGATACCATGGCTCACTGGCACCATGGCTCACTGGCACCATGGCTCACTGATACCATGGCTCACTGACACCATGGCTCACTGGCACCATGGCTCGCTGGCACCATGGCTCACTGGCACCATGGCTCACTGATACCATGGCTCACTGGCACCGTGGCTCACTGGCATCATGCCTCACTGGCACCATGGCTCACTGGTACCATGGCTCACTGGCACCGTGGCTCACTGGCATCATGGCTCACTGGCACCATGGCTCACTGGCACCATGGCTCACTGGCACCATGGCTCACTGGCACCATGGCTCACTGGCACCATGGCTCACTGATACCATGGCTCACTGGCACCGTGGCTCACTGGCATCATGGCTCACTGGCACCATGGCTCACTGGCACCGTGGCTCACTGGCATCATGGCTCACTGGCACCATGGCTCACTGGCACCATGGCTCACTGGCACCATGGCTCACTGGCACCATGGCTCACTGGCACCATGGCTCACTGATACCATGGCTCACTGGCACCGTGGCTCACTGGCATCATGGCTCACTGGCACCATGGCTCACTGGTACCATGGCTCACTGGCACCGTGGCTCACTGGCATCATGGCTCACTGGCACCATGGCTCACTGGTACCATGGCTCACTGGCACCATGGCTCACTGGCACCATGGCTCACTGGCACCATGGCTCACTGATACCATGGCTCACTGGCACCGTGGCTCACTGGCATCATGGCTCACTGGCACCATGGCTCACTGGTACCATGGCTCACTGGCACCATGGCTCACTGGCACCATGGCTCACTGGCACCATGGCTCACTGATACCATGGCTCACTGGCACCGTGGCTCACTGGCATCATGGCTCACTGGCACCATGGCTCACTGGTACCATGGCTCACTGGCACCATGGCTCACTGGCACCATGGCTCACTGGCACCATGGCTCACTGATACCATGGCTCACTGGCACCGTGGCTCACTGGTACCATGGCTCACTGGCACCGTGGCTCACTGGTACCATGGCTCACTGGCACCATGGCTCATTGGCATCATGGCTCACTGGTACCATGGCTCACTGGTACCATGGCTCACTGGCACCATGGCTCACTGGCACCATGGCTCACTGGCACCATGGCTCACTGGCATCATGGCTCACTGGTACCATGGCTCACTGGCACCGTGGCTCACTTGTACCATGGCTCACTGGCACCATGGCTCACTTGCACCATGGCTCACTGGCACCATGGCTCACTGGCACCATGGCTCACTGGCACCATGGCTCACTGATACCATGGCTCACTGGCACCGTGGCTCACTGGTACCATGGCTCACTGGCACCATGGCTCACTGGTGCCATGGCTCACTGGCACCATGGCTCACTGGTACCATGGCTCACTGGAACCATGGCTCACTGGTACCATGGCTCACTGGCACCATGGCTCACTGGCACCATGGCTCACTGGAACCATGGCTCACTGGTACCGTGGCTCACTGGCACCATTGCTCACTGGCACCATGGCTCACTGGTACCATGGCTCACTGGCACCAGGGCTCACTGGCACCATGGCTCACTGGTACCATGGCTCACTGGCACCATGGCTCACTGGTACCATGGCTCACTGGTACCATGACTCACTGGCACCATGGCTCACTGGCACCATGGCTCACTGGTACCATGGTTCACTGGCACCATGGCTCACTGGCACCATGGCTCACTGGTACCATGGATCACTGGTACCATGGCTCACTGGTACCATGGCTCACTGGCACCATTGCTCACTGGCACCATGGCTCACTGATACCATGGCTCACTGGCACCATGGCTTACTGGTACCATGGCTCACTGGCATCATGGCTCACTGCTGCCATGGCTCACTGGCACCATGGCTCACTGGTACCATGGCTCACTGGAACCATGGCTCACTGGTACCATGGCTCACTGGTACCATGGCTCACTGGTACCGTGGCTCACTGGCACCATTGCTCACTGGCACCATGGCTCACTGATACCATGGCTCACTGGCACCATGGCTCACTGGCACCATGGCTCACTGGTACCATGGCTCACTGGCACCATGGCTCACTGGTACCATGCCTCACTGGCACCATGGCTCACTGGTACCATGCCTCACTGGTACCATGGCTCACTGGTACCGTGGCTCACTGGCACCATTGCTCACTGGCACCATGGCTCACTGATACCATGGCTCACTGGCACCATGGCTCACTGGCACCATGGCTCACTGGTACCATGGCTCACTGGCACCATGGCTCACTGGCACCATGGCTCACTGGCACCATGGCTCACTGGCACCATGGCTCACTGGTACCATGGCTCACTGGCACCATGCCTCACTGGTACCATGGCTCACTGGCACCATGGCTCACTGGTACCATGGCTCACTGGCACCATGGCTCACTGGTACCATGGCTCACTGGTACCATGGCTCACTGGCACCGTGGCTCACTGGCACCATGGCTCACTGATACCATGGCTCACTGGCACCATGGCTCACTGGTACCATGGCTCACTGGCACCGTGGCTCACTGGCACCATGGCTCACTGGTACCATGGCTCACTGGCACCATGGCTCACTGGTACCATGGCTCACTGGCACCGTGGCTCACTGGCACCATGGCTCACTGGTACCATGGCTCACTGGCACCATGGCTCACGGGTACCATGGCTCACTGGCACCGTGGCTCACTGGCACTATGGCTCACTGGTACCATGGCTCACTGGCACCATGGCTCACTGGTACCATGGCTCACTGGCACCATGGCTCACTGGTACCATGGCTCACTGGTACCATGGCTCACTGGCACCATGGCTCACTGGTACCATGGCTCACTGGCACCGTGGCTCACTGGCACTATGGCTCACTGGTACCATGGCTCACTGGCACCATGGCTCACTGGTACCATGGCTCACTGGCACCATGGCTCACTGGTACCATGGCTCACTGGTACCATGGCTCACTGGCACCATGGCTCACTGGTACCATGGCTCACTGGCACCATGGCTCACTGGTACCATGGCTCACTGGCACCATGGCTCACTGGTACCATGGCTCACTGGTACCATGGCTCACTGGCACCGTGGCTCACTGGCACCATGGCTCACTGATACCATGGCTCACTGGCACCATGGCTCACTGGTACCATGGCTCACTGGCACCGTGGCTCACTGGCACCATGGCTCACTGGTACCATGGCTCACTGGCACCATGGCTCACTGGTACCATGGCTCACTGGCACCGTGGCTCACTGGCACCATGGCTCACTGGTACCATGGCTCACTGGCACCATGGCTCACTGGTACCATGGCTCACTGGCACCGTGGCTCACTGGCACTATGGCTCACTGGTACCATGGCTCACTGGCACCATGGCTCACTGGTACCATGGCTCACTGGCACCATGGCTCACTGGTACCATGGCTCACTGGTACCATGGCTCACTGGCACCATGGCTCACTGGTACCATGGCTCACTGGCACCATGCCTCACTGGTACCATGGCTCACTGGCACCATGGCTCACTGGTACCATGGCTCACTGGCACCATGGCTCACTGGTACCATGGCTCACTGGTACCATGGCTCACTGGCACCGTGGCTCACTGGCACCATGGCTCACTGATACCATGGCTCACTGGCACCATGGCTCACTGGTACCATGGCTCACTGGCACCGTGGCTCACTGGCACCATGGCTCACTGGTACCATGGCTCACTGGCACCATGGCTCACTGGTACCAATGGCTCACTGGCACCGTGGCTCACTGGCACCATGGCTCACTGGTACCATGGCTCACTGGCACCATGGCTCACTGGTACCATGGCTCACTGGCACCGTGGCTCACTGGCACTATGGCTCACTGGTACCATGGCTCACTGGCACCATGGCTCACTGGTACCATGGCTCACTGGCACCATGGCTCACTGGTACCATGGCTCACTGGTACCATGGCTCACTGGCACCATGGCTCACTGGTACCATGGCTCACTGGCACCGTGGCTCACTGGCACCATGGCTCACTGGTACCATGGCTCACTGGCACCGTGGCTCACTGGTACCATGGCTCACTGGCACCATGGCTCACTGTCACCAAGTCACTCTCTCGCCATGTGGAACGGCACCACTGAACAGGTCGTTTAATTATATGGAAACCTCTCAGGTGGTTTATTTTCCCCAGGCGAATAAGCCAGCGTCAACTAACGCAAGCTGATAACTTGGAAAGCTTAGCAATCGTTGTCAAGAGGATGCTTAACGACGGATATAAAGCTTCGATTAGCCAGTGTTTGAGCAACCAGTGACGATACCAGCACTTGTAAGTCTTAAGCATAGATATTTAGCGCTGGTAATTCGACGGTTGTGTAGTATGTAAACGGAACATCATCTGACAAACACCTCTATCAGAAAATGCTCCTTGGCTTCTTAATGCATAAACCACTTCTAGTATTTAATACTAGAAGACTAGTGTACTTTGCTTATAAGCTAAGGTGGTACTTTGCTTATAAGCTCAGGCGGCAATTTGCTTATAAGCTCAGGGGGAAATATTGAGTATGTATCTATAAAGAGTACTTAAAGTATGTAATATGAGTCAGTGGGTGTGCTTTGCTTGTCAGGTAGCCTGGGGTTACAAAGGTACCGGTGCTGTTCTGACGGTTTCCACACAAGTCATCACCAACAACCCCCGCATCTCCATTCAGCGGGAGCAGCGCTCCACCTGGGTGTTGACCATCGCCAACGTGACCAGGCAGGACCAGGGCCACTACCGGTGCCAGGTCAACACTTCCCCGCCCAGGTCCATCGCCGGGTTCCTTGCTGTCGTAGGTGAGGCCACCACTTCATGTCTAAACCTCAGGAGAAATCACATTTTGGCTTCTAGTTAGAATGTATCCAAACAGATAATTGTTATCTAAAGGGACGAAAGAACATAGCTGATGGAACAGGAATATACAATGTGCTGGAGAGAAAAAAATCCAGGAAAATTGAGAATAGGTATATAGAGTAGGAAATACCAAATATTCTAAGACTGAAAGAACATAAACAAAGGTACAGAAGAATTGATACACAAAACAATAATAATAAATATTCAAAGTGGAAAAGAAAATGTAACACAATATAACAAAAGTGAAAAAAATAAAACAAGAGTAAGAGAAATTTACAAGAGAAAGTAGAAGAGGAATGAGGAAACTGTGAAAAAGTTGTGAAATGGCAAAGTAGATGGCTAAAACAGGAAAGTATGGAGGTTTAATGAAGGCAATGGATGGAATAAAAACAGAAATGTTAAAAGCAGGTGGGGATATAGTTTTAGAGTGGTTACTGCTTTTAATAAATGCATGGAAGAGGGTAAGGTACATATGGATTGCCAGATAGCATGCATAGTTCCTTTGTATAAAGGCAAAGCGGACATAAGAGAATGCAAAAATTATAGGGGAATAAGTCTGTTGAGTATACCTGGTAAAGTGTATGGTAGAGTTATTATTGACAAAATTAATAGAACGACGGAGAGTAAGATAGCAGATGAACAAGGAGGTTTTAGGAAGGGCAGGAGGTGTGTAGACCAAGTGTTTATAGTGAAACATATAGGTGAACAGTATTTAGATAAGGGTAAACAGGTTTCCGTGGTATTTATGGATTTGGACAAGGCGTATGACAGGGTGGATAGGGAGGCAATGTGGCAGATGTTGCAAATGTATGGAATAAGAGGTAGTGTAGATGAATGGTTCCGAGAACCGACAAGTTGATAAATTAAACACCTGTGCAACATTTGGGTATCTTTAATGAAGAAACGTTTCGCCACACAGTGGCTTCATGGATTGATGAAGTCACTGTGTGGCGAAACGTTTCCTCATTAAAGATACCCAAGTGTTGCACGTGTCTAATTTATCAATAAGAGGTAGGTTACTGAAAGCAGTGAAGAGTTTTTACGAGGATAGCGAGGCTCAGGTTAGAGTAAGTAGGAAAGAAGGAGATTATTTCCCAGTAAAAGTAGGCCTATAACAAGGATGTGTGGTGTCACCATGGTTGTTCAATATATTTATAGATGGGACTGCTCGGGTGTTGGAGAGAGGTGTGGGGTTATATGATAAGGAATCTAACACACAGTGGGAGTAGTCACAGTTGGTTTTTGCTGATGACACTGTTCTTTTGGGAGATTCTGAAGAGAAGATGCAGAGCTTGGTTAATGAGTTTGGTAGGGTATGTAAGAGAAGAAAATTAAGAGTGAACATAGGAAAGAGTAAGGTGATGAGGATAACAAAAAAAAAATAATGAAAGATTGGATATCAGATTGGAAGGAGAGAAAATATGGAGGAAGTGAATATATTCAGATATTTGGGAGTGGACGTGTCAGCAGATGGATCTATGAAAGACGAGGTGAATCATAAAATTGATGAGAAAGTGAGTGATGCACTGTGGAGAGAAAGAGCCTTACCAATGGAAGCAAAGTTGTGAATGTATGAGAGTATAGTTATACCAGTGCTCTTATATGGGTGTGAAACAAGGGTGGTGAATGTTGCAACAAGGAGAAGGCTGGAGGCAGCGGAGATGTCGTATCTGAGGGCAATGTGATGTGTGAATATAATGCGGATAATCTGTAGTTTTGAAATTAGGAGGTGCCGGGTTACTGAAAGTATTATCAAGAGGGCTGAGGAGGGGTTGTTGAGGTGGTTCGGCCATTTAGAGAGGATGGAACGAAATAGAATGACTTGGAGAGCATATAAATATGTTGCGAAAGGATGGTGGGGTAAGAGTCGGAGGGAGGGGGTAAAGGAGGCTTTGTGTGGAAGGGGCTTGGATTTCCAGCAAGCATGAGGGAGCGTGTTAGATAGGAGCGAGTGGATACAATTGGTTTATATGACTTTGCGTGCTGTTGGAGTGTAAGTAAGGTAACATTTGTGAAACGATTCAGGGAAACCGGCAGTCAGGACTTGAGGTGGGAAGTACAGTGTCTGCACTCTGAAAGAGGGGTGTTGATAAGGTGCAGTTTTATAACTGTAGTGTAAGCACGTCTCTGGCAAGACAGTGATGGAGTGAATGACGATGAAAGTGTTCCTTCTTTTCCGGGTCACCCTGCCTGGGTGGGAAACGGCCTATGTATTAATTAAAAAAATTATTCAATTTTATTGTAAATTCTCGTTGAGCGCTAAACCCATGTAGGCCATTCAGCTCCAGAGAGGAAACAGAGGAGGAAAGAGATGAGTGAATGGATGAGGGAGAGTAACCTTGCTGTGAGAGGAATAAGTTAGTTAATTGTTATTGTTAGTGTCATAGTAATCGGTTATTGTACGGTTGTAAGGAAGACGGGAGAAGTGGTATCGTGGAATCACGATCCTCTATGTATTGTAAATTTCTTATCCATTCTTTGGTAGAAGTTTAAAAATAATGTGAAGATGTAAACGTATTTAGTTGGTAACTTAAAAGTGACGTTTTCTTGTGTAATTTCTAATCTGTTTGTGTCACATTTGATAAAACTTGTTAATACCATATCTAAAGCAATTACTCTCTCTTCCTTTATACTTCTTTCTTGATGGCTTTTCTTCCTCTATCTTTACCCCTCTTTTGTGATTGTATTTCCCCCCCCCCGGCCTCTGCTTTCTATCAGCCCACTCACCCATCCTGACTCTTTTCACACACACTATCTAATACCCTTTATTCAACCTCCCAGACCACATAATGCCCTCCTAACCCAACCCTGACCACCCAACCCTGACCACCCAACCCTGACCACCCAACCCTGAACACCCAACCATGACCACCCAACCCTGACCACCCAACCATGACCACCCAACCATGACCACCCAACCCTGACCACCCAATCTTGACCATCCAATCCTGACCACCCAACCCTGACCCTCCAACCCTGACCACCCAACCCTGACCACCCAACCCTGACCACCCAACCCTGACCACCCAACCCTGACCACCCAACCTTGACCATCCAACCCTGACCACCCAACCCTGACCATCCAACCCTGACCACCCAACCCTGACCATCCAACCCTGACCACCCAACCCTGACCATACAACCCTGACCACCCAACCATGACCACCCAACCCTGACCACCCAACCCTGACCATCCAACCCTGACCACCCAACCCTGACCATCCAACCCTGACCACCCAACCATGACCACCCAACCCTGACCACCCAACCCTGACCATCCAACCCTGACCACCCAACCCTGACCACCCAACCCTGACCACCCAACCCTGACCATCCAACCCTGACCACCCAACCTGACCACCCAACCCTGACCACCCCAACTCTGACCACCCAACCTGACCACCCAACCCTGACCACCCAACACTGACCACTCAACCCTGACCATCCAACCCTGACCACCCAACCCTGACCACTCAACCCTGACCACCCAACCCTGACCATCCAACCCTGACCACCCAACCCTGACCACACAACCCTGACCATCCAATCCTGACCATCCAATCCTGACCACCCAACCCTGACCATCCAACCCTGACCTCCCAACCCTGACCACCCAACCCTGACCATCCAACCCTGACCACGCAACCTTGACCACCCAACCCTGACCACCCAACCCTGACCACCCAACCCTGACCATCCAACCCTGACCATCCCAACCCTGACCACCCAACCCTGACCACTCAACCCTGACCATCCAATCCTGACAACCCAACCTGACCACCCAACCCTGACCACCCAACCCTGACCACCCGACCCTGACCATCCAACCCTGACCACCCAACCCTGACCATCCCAATCCTGACCACCCAACCCTGACCACCCAACCCTAACCATCCAATCCTGACCACCCAACCCTGACCACCCAACCCTGACCATCTAATCCTGACCATCCAACCCTGACCACCCAACACTTGACCACCCAACCCTGACCACCCAGCCCTGACCATCCAACCCTGACCACCCAACCTGACCACCCAACCCTGACCACCCAACTGACCAATAACCTGAAACCCACACCCAACCCTGACCACCCAACCCTGCCACCCACTACCCCAACCCTGCCACCCACCACTCCAACCCTGACCACTCCAACCCTGACCACACCCAAACCCTGACCATCCAACCCTGACCACCCAACCCTGACAATCCAACCCTGACCACCCAATCTGACCATCCAATCCTGACCACCCAACCCTGACCATCCAACCCTGACCACCCAACCCTGACCACCAAACCCTGACCACCCAACCCTGACCCATTCAACCCTGACCACTGAACCCTGACCACCCAACCCTGACCACCCAACCTGACCACCCAACCCTGACCACCCAACCCTGACCACCCAACCCTGACCACCCAACCCTGACCACCCAACCCTGACCACCCAACCCTGACCATCCAACCCTGACCTCCAACCCTGACCACCCAACCCTGACACACCCACCAACCCTGACCATCCAACCCTGACCACCCAACCCTGACCACCCAACCCTGACCACCCAACCCTGACCACAACCCTGACCACCAATCCTGACAACCCAACCCTGACCACCAAACCCTGACCACCCAACCCTGACCATCCAACCCTGACCACCCAACCCTGACCACCCAACCTGAACCACCCAACTCTGACCACCCAACACTGACCCACCCGACCCAACCCTGACCACCCAACCCTGACCACCCAACCCTGACCATCCAACCCTGACCATCCCAACCCTGACCACCCAACCCTGACCACCCAACCCTGACCATCCAACCTTGACACACCCAACCCTGACCACCCAACCCTGACCACCCAACCCTGACCACCAACCCTGACCATCCAATCCTGACAACCCAACCCTGACCACCCAACCCTGACCATCCAACCTTGACCACCCAACCCTGACCACCCAACCCTGACCACCCAACCCTGACCATCCAACCCTGACCACCGAACCCTGACCACCCAACCCTGACCACCCAACCCTGACCTATCCAACCCCCTGACCACCCAACCCTGACCATCCATATCCTGACCACCCAACCCTGACCACCCAACCCTGACCATCCAATCCTGACCATCCAACCCTGACCACATCCCAACCCTGACCACCCACCCCTGACCACCCAACCCTGACCACCCAACCCTGACCACCCAACCCTGACCATCCAACTCTGACCACCCAACCCTGACCATCCAATCCTGACCACCCAACCCTGACCACCCAACCCTGACCATCCAATCCATGACCATCCAACCCTGACCACCCAACCCTGACCACCCAACCCTGACCATCCAACCCTGACCACCCAACCCTGACCATCCAATCCTGACCATCCAACCCTGACCACCCAACCCTGACCACACCACCACAACCCTGACCACCCAACCCTGACCACCCAACCCTGACCATCCAACCCTGACCACCCAACCCTGACCATCCAATCCTGACCACCCAACCCTGACCACCCAACCCTGACCATCCAATCCTGACCATCCAACCCTGACCACCCAACCCTGACCACCCAACCCTGACCACCCAACCCTGACCACCCAACCCTGACCACCCAGCCCTGACCATCCAACCCTGACCACCCAACCCTGACCATCCAATCCTGACCACCCAACCCTGACCACCCAACCCTGACCACCAACCTGACCATCCAACCCTGACCACCCAACCCTGACCACCCAACCCTGACCATCCAACCCTGACCACCCAACCCTGACCATCCAATCCTGACCATACCCAACAACCCTGACCACCCAACCCTGACCACCCAACCCTGACCCACCCAACCCCTGACCATCCAATCCTGACAACCCAACCCTGACCAACCAATCCTGACCACCCAACCCTACCACCACCTGACACCAACCCTGACACCACCTGACCACACCCTGACCACTCCAACCCTGACCACCCAACCCTGACCACCTCAACCCTGACCACCCAACCCTGACCATCCAATCCTGACCAATGCCAACCTGACCACCCAACCCTGACCACCCAACCCTGACCACCCAACCCTGACACCAATCCATGACAACCCAACCCTGACCAACCAATCCTGACCACCCAACCCTGACCACCCAACCCTGACCATCCAATCCCTGACCATCCAACCCTGACCACCCAACCCTGACTACCCAACCTGACCATCCAACCCTGACCACTCCAACCTGACCATCCAATCCTGACCACCCAACCCTGACCACCCAACCCTGACCACCAACCCTGACCATCCAACCTGACCATCCAATCCTGACCACCCAACCCTGACCACCCAACCCTGACCACCCAACCCTGACCACCCAACCCTGACCATCCAACCCTGACCACCCAACCCTGACCACCCAACTCTGACCACCCAACCCTGACCACCCAACCCTGACCACCCAACTCTGACCACCCAACCCTGACCATCCAACCCTGACCACCCAACCCTGACCATCCAACCCTGACCACCCAACCCTGACCACCCAACTCTGACCACCATCCACAGCCTCATCATCCATTACCTTCCATGTGATTACCATTTTCTTACTCTCCGTCACAGATAATATCCCATAAACTGTCATCGCTTTACTTTTTTCCGGTCACCAGAGCCGCCCGTGTTGGACGGGGGGGACGAGGAGGTGACGGTAAACAGAGGAGGTTCCGTCAACCTAACCTGCCGCGCCCACGGCACTCCAACGCCGACAGTCAGGTGGATCAGGGAGGACTACAACAGCATCAGGATCAGCGAGGCTCACTTCGGTAATATATATGTGTGTACTCACTTCATGTTTTATGAAACTCTAGCTCTAGTTCTAGCTCTAGCTCTAGCTCTCTCTCTCTCTCTCTCTCTCTCCCCTTTCTCTCTCTGTAGTTAGACTATGATTTCCTGTCTTTGTTTACGAGCTAAGAGCTTTTGAAAGGTTTCCCTAACATAATTAATTATATGCTATGAAAAACACAAATTAGAAACAGGATGAAACAATAGCCAGTTGAAGGGGAAATATTTTATTTGATGAAACATTGTTTCATTAATATTCGAATACTGAGTAAAAAAACGTCCCACATTCGAGTCATTCCAGGAATTAAGAATGGCAATTTATGTGATTTTTCTTGGGAAGGGGACAACGAGAGTTGCTGTTTGCTGTCCGTCTTGTGGTATAGAAGCAATCTTCTCGCTCTCCGCTGACATGAGCCAAGTGTAGTAATCTGATTACATTAACCCTCAACATAACAGTAAAGTTCTGGTGGCAAAAGCTCTCACTTCACACGGCGAGGGTCCGGGTTCGATTCCCGGAGAAGAGGTGGAAGCATCAGGCGTGTTTCCTTGCACCGGGTGTCTATGTTCACCCATCAGTAAAATGGGTACCTGGGTGTTAGTGGACTGGTGTGGGTCGCATCCTGGGACAAACTTACCTAATTTGCCCGAAATGCTCAGCATAACAAGCACCTTTGTATATAGTAGTATGTCATTGATGTCAACTATGGTCTGTATACCTTGTACATGTACTTGCAGCAAATAAAGACATTATATTATTATTATTATTAGACATAGCTGTAAGCTGGTGACTGATGTGCCTAAGAAAATACGTCAATGCTAGAATACTGTTATCTGCACTGACATAAGATTCTGTAGGTGAGATGAAGCAGGACATTGATGAAGACAACATAACAATGGGCCGAACTTTTTTTTTTTGTAGATCACTTTCACAGACTGAATGGTTTTTAGTTACCAGGAAGTATCACAGAGTCAGAGATTCCAGGCGCTCGTAGTTTTACCATGAGACGCTGATGACATACTCGGTCGAAGGCACCAGATTTGTCCAGTGTTATTAAACAGGTGATGTTGGCTTCATCCAGTGACTGGTGCCGCATAATGAAGAGGTTTAACAGGAGTCAAAATCAAAGATTGTCTTTGACTCCTGTGCCATCCAAATCAAGTTACTGATGTTGAGTTTATCTAGAACTAGTTTCCAGTTGTTTATCCTTCAACCCTACATATGAGAGCGGACATAGAGTACAAGGGATCTTGTAAACACCTCCAACTCTGTTGGATAGTGCATTCTTGATCAATCCTTGTGTTTCACTGTGCGATTATTCTTAAAAATATCTATACTGAACCTTTTCAATGGATCATGCTAGAACCTTGACTCAACCAGCCAATGAAAAGGATGTCCACCAAAGTTGTGAAGCGATGTGGTACACTTGTTAAGCAAGTGTACCACAAGTGTCTCTCGCTTGTATAATTGCCTTGCTGTACATATCCTCTGTAAACACTGTACATATTATTGCTTGCTGTTTGGTGAAGGAAATATATAAGTATTTATTCTCCACTGCCTTCTTCTTGTTCCTCGTTTCTACCTTGGTTATCATGCTACAAACAGGTGTGCAGGCCACTAGATTACACCGGTGTTCGTAATACTGACCTATCTCAATTAAGTGGTTTGTTATATATTTTACTAATTTCATCCCTGAAATATTGAAGGCTGCAAGTACGTAAAGCTCTCAGGAATACTGAGAGAAAAACTCTTCTTTTACCCAAAGTTTCATTACTGGAATAACAGCGAATGTATGATGACACATCGGTTGACTTCCTATACACAGAAAATTTAAATGTCATTTTGATGGATTAAAACATCTAAGAATAGTAGATATCTATTTCATGATCAATTGTAAACTTAACTGAATGTGTTAAACCACTGAGTCAGGGTAGTAGCTGGTCAGTACTTTGATCCCTCTGTTACACATAACATCTACATATCTTAAGCTTTTGGCTTTAGATATGCAACAGTTAGGTATCTTTTTTTCCAAACGTTTCGCCTACACAGTAGGCCTAATAAACATACCTAACTGCTGCATATGTGTCTTACCTAACAACCTGTTCGTATTTGATACCATTTTAATATGCACTTGGCTGTACTTAAAAGAATATTTTTAAGGAGTTTTGTCTCATAGAATTCCATATACAAATTACTGTGTGAGGAAAAGTGGGTTTCCCATAGCCATACCTTGTTTTAGAGCCTGGCGAAGGTGTTGTCTGCCGAATTAGCAGAATGAAAATTTATTTTTGCCATAAAACAGCGGAAATCAACTTGAATGTAATGGAAAAATATATATCATTGATTTGCAGTAATGTTAAATAAATTTAAAATGACCTATGCTAGACATAGCAAAATTTTGCTAAAAATCTATCCAGGTTTAAGTTAGGTAAGGTTTCTAAGTTAGATTTAGTTCAGAAATAAAGCATTTTATATTGCTGTTAATGATATATATTAATATATATATATATATATATATATATATATATATATATATATATATATATATATATATATATATATATATATATATATATATATATATATATATATATATATATATATATATATATATATATATATATAATATCGTGTCGAATATGTAAAACTGGTCAATTAGCAAGAACTCATTTAAAATTAAGTCCTTTCTAAAATTTTCTCTTATACGTTTAAAGATATATTTTTTTCATTAATGTTGATGTAAAAATTTTTAATTTTGCACCAAAAGGAACTTAGAAAACTTACTTAACCTTATTATAACAAGAGCAATTTAGTTTAGCCTAACCCAACTAAATATATTTTAGATTTGTTTACAGTCATTTAATACTAAACAAACACAGTGAAATCTACTTTTTCCGTTAGGTTCAGAATGATTTTGGCGAACTTATTGCACACACAAATTTTCACTTGTCCTATATGGCAAGATGAGCTTTGCTATTTAAGCCAAGATCGCAAGTTCTGCCTATTCGGCACGACAGGAGATTTCCTGTTAGCTGTTCCCAATTCCTCCCTGGGCACCCGTCTCGACCCACAGGCCATTCGGATTGGTTTTGCTCTTCGCCTAGCCGCCCCCATCCTCACCGAACATTGGTGTATTTGCGGCAGGGCGACAGCTGATCAATTCGGACATCATGGTCTCGTGTGTCACACAGCAGAAGGGAAGTATGCCAGACATGAGGAGGTCAGTGACATCATAAAGAGAAGCCTCGCCACAGCCCGTTGCCCAGCTCAACGGGAACCCCAAGTACAGAGGTCTGATGGAAGTCAAAAGCGTCCTGATGGAGCCACTATGCTACCCTGGAAGGATGGAAAGCAGATTGCCTGGGACTGCACCTGTGCTGCCACATTGGCAGACACCTACTTGCCATACTCCGTAGTGGAAAGGGGTGGAGCTGCCAGCCACAGGGAGACCCAGAAGATCCGAAAATATGAAGACCTTTCCCCTTGCTATAACTTCATTCCAATAGGGTCGGAGACCCTTGGAGCATGGGGCAAGTGTGCCCTAAAGTTCCTCAAAGAGCTGGGTGAAAAGCTCATCATAGAAATCAAGGACCACAGGGCGACGAGCTTCCTCTTTCAGAGACTCAGTGTTGCGATCCAGAGAGGAAATGCCTGCCGCATTCTGGGCACGCGGCCCACCGCAGGGGAGCTAGACGAAGTATTCGAGATGTATCTCTGAGTTACCTATGTTGTTTTACTTTCTGTTGTATTTTTGTGAATATATTATATATATATATATATATATATATATATATATATATATATATATATATATATATATATATATTATATATATATAATATATTATATAATATATATATATATATATAATATTATATATATATATATATATATATATTATATATATGTCGTGCCGAATAGGCAGAACTTGCGATCTTGGCTTAAATAGCAACGCTCATCTTGCCTTATAGGACAAGCGAAAATTTGTGAATGCAATATTTTCACCAAAATCATTCTGAACCTATCGAAAAAAATATATTTCACTGTGTTTGTTTAGTATTAAATTATTGTAAACAAATTTAAAATATATTTAGTTGGGTTAGGCTAAAATAAATTGTTCTTGTTAGGTAAGTTTCCTAAGATTCTTTTGGTGCAAAATTGTGAATTTTTACATCAACATTAATGAAAAAATCTATCTTTAAACGTATAAGAGAAAATTTCAGAAAGGACTTAATTTTAAACGAGTTCTTGCTAATTGACCAGTTTTACATATTCGGCACGACATATATATATATATATATATATATATATATATATATATATATATATATATATATATATATATATATATATATATATATATATATATATATATATATATATTATATACATTAATTCTTTTGACCTATGGCACTGAGCCACATATGCATAACTTGTCTTGACTCTCGGCAGTGTCTGACTATGTGGGCAGCTCACTATTACTACAGAAGGTGACCCAGCGTAGTGCAGGTGGCTACCTCTGCATTGCTACCAACGGTCACCCACCATCCATCAGTAAGAAAATTATTGTCAATGTCAACTACGTGCCGGAAGTCAGGGGGCCCAAGCCAACTACGTGGGCTCTCTTGGGTACCAGTGTCAGCCTCACCTGCCTCTTCGCTGCTCATCCCACCCCACGGGTCGTCTGGATGAGGGAAAACTCATTGGGGTCACAGATGCTTAATGATGAGTATTTTACCGTCACTCCTCAGGAAGGTCATCCGCCTTACACGTGAGATACATGTTTTATTCTCGTCTGGTTTCCCTAATATACGGTCTCTTCAGAAATTGATGCATTCCTTAAAGTGAAAGCTACATGATTAATGTATACGTTAGTTAATATGTTGCTCACTCAAATGTCCTTGGTAAATTATGTTAGCGAACGTATTTTAATGTCTCATTTGATAAGTCATCTGCTGAATGGTGATTGATGGTGTCTAGAACCTGCAGTGTCTAAGAGCAATTGCCATACACAGTAAAGTATATCAGCTGGGATAAGATGTGGATTTCTTTGTAGTTATAACTGCCTAGTAGAAACTATTCTCGGAAAATGGATTTCAAGTGATCTCTGGGTAAAGTCACTTTCTGAAAGATCTGTGGAGGATATAAGTCTCTTTTTCATCTTATTGAACGACTAAATAAGCTAAGATTCCTAATTATAGTGAGAGAGTGACAGTGTGTGTGTGTGTGTGTGTTGTGTGTGTGTGTGTGTGTGTGTGTGTGTGTGTGTGTGTAAAGTGACGAGACCTACAATGCTTCATTATAATAATCTGGTACAATAATGAAAGTTTACTTGTCACTTGAGCGTGAGTTTGAAGTGTCAAAAACACGAAATCAAACTCACATTCATGTATAACCAATTTTTAAATGCTTTAAGAACAGCGGAATATTGATGCAGTAGAACAAGAATTTCCAATATTTTATGAGCCCAACACATCCAATAAATAAGTAAAATACTGCATGCTTCTCTTGTGTGCATGAATCACTCTTGCCAGCAAGCAGAGGACAAGTATATTGAAGATGGATAATCAAATTTTAGAACCCCTTTCCATGGATATTTGAGACATGTGATATTAAGCTCAATCCCACAGATATAGAAGACCCAGGAACATTTGTCACCATCAGAAATTGATGTTAAACATTGTTAGGCGGCTCCTCCAGACATGCACGATACGATATGTCAAACTCCGTCTCTAAATATAGAAAGTACCCAGCATGCAGTTCTAACCTATGTATACGCTAGAAGATGCATATTGGTAAGTTACGCTTCAAGATATAGAGGCACCTGGTTCCAAAATTTTGAAGTCACAGTGTTAAGTCTCACCACTTAGAAATATAGAAAAAAAACACAGTGAAAAGCCCACTCCCAGATTTAGAGGACGGCCGTAAACCTTAATCTCACCTCCAAATATAAAGAACTCAATGCAAAGTCCATCCCCCAGATTTATACAAGACTCCCAGATATGTACAAGACTCCCAGATACATACAAGACTCCCAGATATGTACAAGACTCCCAGATACATGCAAGACTCCCAGATATGTACAAGACTCCCAGATACATACAAGACTCCCAGATATGTACAAGACTCCCAGATACATGCAAAACTCCCAGATATGTATAAGACTCCCAGATACATGCAAGACTCCCAGATATGTACAAGACTCCCAGACACATGCAAGACTCCCAGATATGTACAAGACTCCCAGATACATGCAAGACTCCCAGATATGTACAAGACTCCCAGATACATGCAAGACTCCCAGATATGTACAAGACTCCCAGATATATACAAGACTCCCAGATGTGTACAAGACTCCCAGATACATACAAGACTCCCAGGTATGTACGAGACTCCCAGATACATACAAGACTCCCAGATACATGCAAGACTCCCAGATACGTACAAGACTCCCAGATACATACAAGACTCCCAGATATATACAAGACTCCCAGATACATGCAAGACTCCCAGATACGTACAAGACTCCCAGATACATGCAAGACTCCCAGATACATACAAGGCTCCCAGATACATACAAGACTCCCAGATACATACAAGACTCCCAGATACATACAAGACTCCCAGATACATACAAGACTCCCAGATATGTACGAGACTCCTAGATATGTACAAGACTCCCAGACACATACAAGACTCCCAGATCCATACAAGACTCCCAGATATACAAGACTCCCAGATACATACAAGACTCCCAGATACATACAAGACTCCCAGATATACACAAGACCCCCAGATACATACAAGACTCCCAGATACATACAAGACTCCCAGATACATACAAGACTCCCAGATATGTACAAGACTCCCAGATACATACAAGACGCCAGGATACATACAAGACTCCCAGATACATACAAGACTCCCAGATATACACAAGACTCCCAGATACATACAAGACTCCCAGATACATACAAGACTCCCAGATATGTACGAGACTCCTAGATATGTACAAGACTCCCAGACACATACAAGACTCCCAGATCCATACAAGACTCCCAGATATATACAAGACTCCCAGATACATACAAGACTCCCAGATACATACAAGACTCGCAGATATGTACGAGACTCCTAGATATGTACAAGACTCCCAGACACATACAAGACTCCCAGATACATACAAAACTCCCAGATATACACAAGACTCCCAGATACATACAAGACTCCCAGATACATACAAGACTCCCAGATACATACAAGACTCCCAGATATGTACAAGACTCCCAGATACATACAAGACTCCCAGATACATACAAGACTCCCAGATATGTACAAGACTCCCTGATACATACAAGACTCACAGATATGTACAAGACTCCCAGATATGTACAAGACTCCCAGATACATACAAGACTCCCAGATACATACAAGACTCCCAGATACATACAAGACTCCCAGATACATACAAGACTCCCAGATACATACAAGACTCCCAGATACATACAAGACTTCCAGATATATACAAGACTCCCAGATACATACAAGACTCCCAGATACATACAAGACTCCCAGATACATACAAGACTCCCAGATACATACAAGACTCCCAGATACATAAAAGACTCCCAGATACATACAAGACTCCCAGATACATACAAGACTCCCAGATACATACAAGACTCTCAGATACATACAAGACTCCCAGATACATACAAGACTCCCAGATACATACAAGACTCCCAGATACATACAAAACTCCCAGATATGTACAAGACTCCCAGATACATACAAGGCTCCCAGATACATACAAGACTTCCAGATACATACAAGACTCCCAGATATACACAAGGCTCCCAGATACGTACAAGACTCCCAGATATACACAAGGCTCCCAGATACGTACAAGACTCCCAGATACATGCAAGACTCCCAGATACATACAAGACTCCCAGATACATACAAGACTCCCAGATATACACAAGACTCCCAGATATATACAAGACTCCCAGATACATACAAGACTCCCAGATACATACAAGACTCCCAGATATACACAAGGCTCCCAGATACGTACAAGACTCCCAGATACATACAAGACTCCCAGATACATACAAGACTCCCAGATATATACAAGACTCCCAGATACATAAAAGACTCCCAGATATACACAAGACTCCCAGATACGTACAAGACTCCCAGATACATACAAGACTCCCAGATACATACAAGACTCCCAGATACATACAAGACTCCCAGATACATACAAGGCTCCCAGATACATACAAGACTCCCAGATACATACAAGACTCCCAGATATACACAAGGCTCTCAGATACGTACAAGACTCCCAGATACATACAAGACTCCCAGATACATACAAGACTCCCAGATACATACAAGACTCCCAGATATATACAAGACTCCCAGATACATAAAAGACTCCCAGATATACACAAGACTCCCAGATACATACAAGACTCCCAGATACATACAAGACTCCCAGATACATACAAGACTCCCAGATATACACAAGACTCCCAGATACATATAAGACTCCCAGATACATACAAGACTCCCAGATACATACAAGACTCCCAGATACATAAAACACTCCCAGATATACACAAGACTCCCAGATACATACAAGACTCCCAGATACATACAAGACTCCCAGATACATACAAGACTCCCAGATACATACAAGACTCCCAGATATATACAAGACTCCCAGATACATACAAGACTCCCAGATACATACAAGACTCCCAGATATACACAAGGCTCCCAGATACGTACAAGACTCCCAGATATACACAAGGCTCCCAGATACGTACAAGACTCCCAGATATACCCAAGGCTCCCAGATACGTACAAGACTCCCAGATACATACAAGGCTCCCAGATACATACAAGGCTCCCAGATACGTACAAGACTCCCAGATATACACAAGGCTTCCAGATACGTACAAGACTCCCAGATACATACAAGACTCCCAGATACATACAAGACTCCCAGATACATACAAGACTCCCAGATATACACAAGACTCCCAGATATATACAAGACTCCCAGATACATACAAGACTCCCAGATACATACAATACTCCCAGATATACACAAGGCTCCCAGATACGTACAAGACTCCCAGATACATACAAGACTCCCAGATACATACAAGACTCCCAGATACATACAAGACTCCCAGATACATACAAGACTCCCAGATACATACAAGACTCCCAGATACATACATGACTCCCAGATATATACAAGACTCCCAGGTATATACAAGACTCCCAGGTATATACAAGACTCCCAGGTATATACAAGACTCCCAGGTATATACAAGACTCCCAGATATATACAAGACTCCCAGGTATACACAAGACTCCCAGATACATTCAAGACTCCCAGATATATACAAGACTCCCAGATACATACAAGACTCCCAGATATATACAAGACTCACAGATGCATACAAGACTCCCAGATACATACAAGACTCCCAGATACATACAAGACTCCCAGATATATACAAGACTCCCAGATACATACAAGACTCCCAGGTATATACAAGACTCCCAGATATATACAAGACTCCCAGATATATACAAGACTCCCAGATATATACAAGACTCCCAGGTATACACAAGACTCCCAGATATATACAAGACTCCCAGATATATACAAGACTCCCAGATATATACAAGACCCCCAGATATATACAAGACCCCCAGATATATACAAGACTCCCAGATATATACAAG